GCCTCCCCGCCCCGCCCCGCCGCGGGCCCGGGCGCGCGGGAACCCGGGTCCTGCCGCCGCCCGCGCGCGGAGAGGCGGGGCCCTCGCTCCCACCCGCTGCCCGCGCTCCCCATCCCCCTCCCCGGCCCCGGCCCCGGCCCCGGGCACTCGGCGGCCGGAGCGCCGGGCGGTACCTTCAGCCGCGCAATGAGAGGAGCCCGGGAGGACCAACCGGAGCGGGCGGGGAGGTTCGCCGCGCCCGGGCTGCTGCCGCCGCCGCGGCTGCTTGAAACTCCTCAAAGTTGAGAGCCGGGGAGAGGCTGCCGCCCGCCGGGAGCCGGAGGAAGGGAAGTCGGAGGTGCGGGAGGGACGGACGCCGACAGACAGACGCGCAGACCTGCGGGAGACACCGCGCCGGCCGCCCGGCCCCGAGCCCGCGAGGCCTCCCGGCGCCGTGAGTTGCTTTCTGGACGGGTGGCTTGCTCAGTATTTCCGTTGAATTGTTTATAGGGTGCGTTTGTGTATATTTGTGTCTGTTGGAGGGAGTTAAAAAAAAAAGCAGGATGCACGTTTTATAAATTGAGTTTCTGATGGTGAGACGGTGGTTGCCTAGAGAATGTGACTGAGTGTCTATAAGCAGGACTCACGTGGGGGGATGCATTTAGCAGCAAAGAGGCAACGTAGAGCTCCCCAGGGGAAATAAAGCCCATTTCAAAAGTTATTGGAAAGAAAGTAAGGTATGACTCTTAAGGGTTAACAAGGGGTGGTGAACTTCTGCTTTTACCCCCCTCTGAAATATTGTTTACCAGGTGCACCGGTGGGAGGCTGAGCTGGTGGAAAAGACACCGGGAAGCGGTCCGAGGCGACCATAATAATGTCTGTGCGTTTACACGCGCTGCCCACCCTGCCTGGAGCGGTCAGACCGGGCTGCAGAGAGCTGCTGTGCTTGTTGGTGATCACGGTGACCGTGACCCCCGGGGCCTCCGGGGCGTGCCCTGCCGCCTGCATCTGTGCAACTGACATCGTCAGCTGCACCAACAAAAACCTATCCAAGGTGCCTGGGAACCTGTTCAGACTGATGAAGAGACTGGATCTGAGTTACAACAGAATCGGGCTTCTGGATGCCGAGTGGATTCCAGTGTCGTTGGTGAAGCTGAACACCCTCATTATCCGTCACAACAACATCACCAGCATCTCCACGGGCAGTTTTTCCACAACTCCAAATCTGAAGTGTCTGGACTTATCATCCAATAAGCTGAAGACGGTGAAAAATGCCGTGTTCCAAGAGCTTAAGGTTCTGGAAGTGCTTCTGCTGTACAACAATTATATTTCCTATCTCGACCCTTCAGCGTTTGGAGGCCTCTCCCAGCTGCAAAAACTCTACTTAAGCAGAAACTTTCTCACGCAGTTTCCTATGGATTTGTATGTAGGAAGGTTCAAGCTGGCAGAACTGATGTTTTTAGATGTTTCGTATAACCGAATCTCTTCCATGCCAATGCACCATATCAATTTAGTGCCAGGAAAACAACTGAGAGGCGTCTACCTTCATGGAAACCCATTTGTCTGTGATTGTTCTCTGTACTCACTGCTGGTCTTCTGGTATCGTAGGCACTTCAGTTCAGTGATGGATTTTAAGAACGATTACACCTGTCGCCTGTGGTCTGACTCCGGGCACTCCCATCAGGTACCTCTGCTCCAGGATAGCTTCATGAATTGCTCTGACAGCATCATCAATGGTTCATTCCGTGCACTTGGCTTTATTCATGAGGCTCAGGTTGGGGAAAAGCTGATTGTCCACTGTGACAGCAAGGTGGGTAGGGCCAATACCGATTTCATCTGGGTCAGGCCAGATAACAGACTGCTGGAGCCGGATAAAGAGGTGGAAAACTTTCACGTGTTTCACAATGGAAGTCTGATGATAGAAAGTCCTCGTTTTGAGGATGCTGGAGTTTATTCTTGCATCGCAATGAATAGGCAGCGCCTGTTAAATGAAACTGTGGATGTCACAATAAATGTGAGCAATTTCACTGTAAGCAAATCGCATGCTCATGAGGCATTTAACACAGCTTTTACCACTCTTGCTGCCTGTGTGGCCAGTATCGTTTTGGTACTTTTGTACCTCTATCTGACTCCATGCCCCTGCAAGTGTAAAACCAAGAGGCAGAAACATATGCTAAACCAAAGCAATGCTCATTCTTCGATACTCAGTCCCGGCCCTGCTGGCGATGCCTCCGCTGATGAACGGAAGGCAGGTGCAGGTAAAAGAGTGGTGTTTCTGGAACCCATGAAGGATACCACTGCAGCAGGGCAGAATGGGAAGGTCAGGCTCTTTCCCAGTGAGGCGGTGATAGCTGAGGGCATCTTAAAGTCCACGAAGGGCAAGTCCGACTCAGATTCGGTCAATTCGGTGTTTTCAGACACCCCTTTTGTGGCGTCCACTTAATTTTGTGCCTGTATTTGTATGCTGTCGTAATTTAATCGCTTCCTGTTTTACTTTGTGTTCCCCCAAATAAACAGCAGGACAGAGACTGTGTTGTTTTGTTACTTGAAATACAACCAAATGGTCTCTTAAAGTGGTTGATAGGAAATGAGCTAAAGCACTTTGGTTCTTCAGTGTGCCAGAGGAAGATGGGGTTGTGTTCCAAAGTTTAAATTCTAGGTAACAGTATCTTAGTCTTTAGCGCTATTGATCCTTTCAAAGCTGGCCCGGAGGCGATATGACTGGCATTGTCCCTCTATTCAGGTTTTTTAAAGGAAAAAGTAAACTTCAAGTATTACTGTTGTTTGCTAACTTATTAGGACCAAAGTTGAGTTATTGTAAAGAAAAACACTAGTGTCATATTCATTTTTCAAAAAATGTAGGAGGAAGAATCAAGCAGCAATGATTTATAAAGCAAAGTTAGATTTGGGAATTATGCAGCCAAAACAATCACTTCAGACCAGAATGAGTAGACCACATTGATAAAATTTACTGCATAATGCTCCATCCTATTTGGTGTTAGATAAATAGTGCAAGAAAAGCACATTTGTTTGCCTGTCTTCTTTTCATTCTGTACTTTTGCACAAAAGATATCACTGCAAGTTTAAAGTCACCATTATTTGTTGCCATAAATATGTAAGTGTCAGTACCAAAATGTCTGAGTAACTTCTTAAATCTTTGTTCTAGTAAGACTAATATTTGTTCATATGCTTGTGTATATGTAAATCTTAAATTATGTGAACTATTATTAAGTTGACTGTACTGTGCTTTGGACATTTAAATTAATGTAAATATATGTAATCTGTAACTTGATGTTTTGTTTTATTTGGCTATTTGAAAACATAAATCTAAGATGTTTTATGTGATTAGATTGTGCTGTTTTGTATAAAGTATCACCAATAGCAAATCTCCAGAATTCTTACAGTTCTAGCATCAAATTTATTTATTTGTTTGTTTATTTATTTATTTGAGTTGGTGTCTCACTCTGTCACCCAGGTTGGAGTGCAATGGCACGCTCACAGCCACCGCAGCCTTGACCTGCTGGGCTCAGGTGATCCTTCTGTCTCAGCCTTCCAAGTAGCTGGAACCATAGGCAAGTGCCACCACGGCTTGGTTAATTTTTAAATTTATGGTAGAGATGAGGTCTCACCAAGTTGCCCAGGCTGTTCTTGGACCCCTGGGCACAGGCAATCCTCTCACCTCCACCTCCCAAAGTGCTGGGATTACAGGCATGCGCCACCAAGCCCGGCTTAAATTTATTTTTTTAAGGGGAGGGGAATACTTTAATGTGTTATAGATCAATTTATACCTTCTACATCACGTTTTACTCTATCATTATGCACTTTAACTGGGTTTAGAAGACACTTAAACCCTGATGTTGCAACAAGGGAGAGCCCAAGAGACCTCCTTATCCCATCTCAGTCATGAGGCTGTCAGGTACATGCTCTGAACCTAGCATTCGTCAGTTGTAAAGTGAAGGTGTCAGACTAGGTGATGTTTAAGTTTCCTTTCCATAATGGAACTGATGATTTCTTATGATCTTAGCTCCATCACAGACTTACACTGGCTTTCTGAAACTCTACACATATTGAAGGAATGAAAGAATGGGATTAAGATAGACCAGCATAGCAGTGCACAGCTCTAAGGGTTGTCCCAGTTCATCAAGTCCAGCTCCTTCTTTTTTCTCAGGGATAAAGTAGACCCAGAGAAGGTTGTGGGTTGTCTAAAGTTAAACAGTAAATTTGTGACAGGGATAGAAGGAGAGCTGGGGTTCAGCGTTTTCTTTGATGAAGATCAGAGGTCCATAGGAATGACTACCTTTAATGGGATGGGCATGGAGAAGGTACCAAGGATTCAGACAAAAAAGTGATGAAAAATTGGCAAAAGGGAATCAAGGATTGTCATTGGGACTAAAAGATAATTTTTAGAGGATGGGAGTGGGCAACAGTGACAAATATTGCAGAGAAGTAGGTGAAGATGAAAGATTAACCACTGGCTTTGGCAATGGTGACTTTCTGGGAATAGAGTCAGTAATAATAATAATGGACATGTGATGAGAGTTCCCTAAGTGCCATGCTGGGCTTTCGGTGGCAGACTGGTCAGCAGGGGGTTAAGGAGCAAGTGGTCAAGAAGTGGTCATTTAGGGAAGAGGATGTATAAGTACTGCTCGGTAGCATTAAAAAAATATTCATTGTATGGTGTTTAAAATGACGGCTCCAGTCTCTTAACCACCAGCCTCACCCTTTAGACAATATTATTCAGAGACAAAGATGTTACAAATGAGCATTTTATTCTGATTCCTGCCACTTAAATAATTAGGAAGAATTCTGTGATTGTATGACCTTGAAGGTCATCACCTCTTCTTTTTTTTTATATTTAGAGAAATCCAGATTCAAGAGATGCTGTGGTTTGTTGGGATCACACAGCTATTTTGGACACAAGGAAAAACTCTTGAACCTCAAAAGTTCTCTGGCAATGGAAAGGGCTGTCACAAGATGACATGAACACCCTGATTTTGAAAGTGTAGTGGAGCCGAGACCATCCCCTGACAAGGAAGTTGGAGAGAGAATCTCTAAGGTCCTTCTAGCCCTCAAATCCTCAATCCTAGGAAATGAGTATTGCATTTTGCAGGAAAATATGAACAGTGCTAGGAGTGGGGAGTAAGTAGATTCTAGTCTTGGCTGATCCTTATACTCGCTCTCTGGTGAAAAAAGATGAGACAGAAACGAAGATACTTATGACCAAAACAAAAAAACCCCTAAATTCTGAATACTGAAAAGCAAAGCTGTGTTTTGAGCAAAAATAGGAAGACATGGTGATAAAACATGAAAGTGAACATTATGATGTAGAATTTTAAGTTCTTGGATTTCTCAGTTTTTTGATAGGAGCCTGATCACATGCATTTTAAATACGACAACAAGGGCAGCCCCCTCAGGTCCCCCTCCCACTGTGAAGCTTTTCTGTCTTCTCATTAAATCCTGCTTTCTAAAAAAACAAAATATATAGGAACAAAATTAATTTGTGCTTTAAAACCTTGTCTCACTCAAAACTTTTATATAATTTTTCTTCCAAGTAATAATCTGGATTTATGTAAGTGGGTTTTTCTTTTAAGCCACTTAGTATTTTTATTACATAGTTGTCAGGGGTGGAGACTCACTGGAGAAATCAATCAAAGATCATAGAAGTGAAATTTCCCCAGGCTTAGAGTATTTTTTTACTATAGTGAAGATCATGGGTCTACTATTCCCTATATGCTTATGATAATATATTCTATAGTTATTTGTAAGTTAAAAATGTTAAATTTACACAAGATTTATAATCTGAGAGAAGAGCTTAAAAGATTTTCCTATTTATAGTTAACTTCTACACTAGTCCTCAATGTTTGGCCTAGAGACATTTAAATATATTCATTTTTAACTTTAATGACTTGAAAGATTTGCACAGCAAAATGGTTTTTATTTTTTTAAATGAATGTTTCTAAAATGTTAATCAGAAGGAACGTAGGGGAAACTTTTATGGGGCTGGAAACATCAGAGGGACAGGAAGACACACGGCCAGTCCAAATTCCAAAAAGACATTTGATTTTGAATCACCCTGCTAGGCACTGTTGAGACAGGATATAGCCTAAGCATCCTGCGACATCCTTGGCTTTTCCCTTGCCACAACTGCTGCTTGCTGATTGCCACCTTCCAGTGTCATCTGGTTTCCCAAAAATGATCTAGCAGTGAGTCCAAGACTAGGCTTCTCAACGGATTCACAGGGAAAAATTAAACAAGGGTTTCCAGCAACTACCCCTCTGCATACCCCTCAACTGGAGATTCTGGCTCAAGAGTTTTTTTTTTTTAAAAAAAACTTTACTATGCAGGTCAGGCATGGTGGCTCTCTTCTTTCCTTCCTTCCTTCCTTCCTTTCCTCTCTCGCTCTTTCCTTCCTTCTTTCCTTCCTTCCCTCTTTCTCACTCTCTTTCTCTCTTCCTAGACTCTTTCCTCCTCTCTTTGATTCTCTCTTTTCTTCCTCTCTCTTTCATTCTTTTATTCCCTCTCTTTTTCATAGATTCTTTTTCCTCCTCTCTTTGATTCTCTTTGCCCCTTCCTCTCCCTGCCTCTCTCCCTCTCTTTTCCCCTCTCTCCCTGTCTCTCCCTTTCTCCCCCCTTAGCATTTTGGGAGGCTGAGGCAGAAGGTTGCTTGAGACCAAGAGCTCAAAATCAGCCTGGGCAATAATGAGATCCCTGCCTCTAAGTTTAAAACATTTTTTAAAAAAAATAACTGTGCCATTTTGATTCTACCTATTTTGAGGAAACACATCCTGAAATGGGACCATAATAAAGTTTGTGTTTGAGAATATACCAAAAGACATAATTCTTACTTGTGATTTGACTTATTAATAAAAAGAAGAAGGTTAGTCTTCTGAAAATATTCTAATAGGAAAACAAAAGAGTTTGATTAACTGCCACTAAGTAAGACACAGAGTAAATTGTTGGCTGTAATTTATAATTTATGTTTTTCTAAATTACAAAATATGGAATAATTACTTTGAGAAGACTAAATCCCCGATTCTTTCATTTCTTAAGCTATTTTTAGTTTGGAAGCAGTTACAACAGATCGGGTTTATAACAATGAGCTTTGGAGCTTTCAAATTTGATTAGATCACAGTAAAGGGAGGACATATTCCAAAGATGTTCAAGTGCAGATTTCATCTACAAAGAAGCAAACCCTTTGCTTTTCCAATATATTTAAATAATAGTTTTTAAAGAGACCACAATATTCTTTTCACAGTTCTCATCCCTCCTTATCCAAAAGCCAACCCCCCAAACTCATGTTTTTAATTTATCGTACTGTAAGATGAAAGTTAGTGTGGAAAGGTGATGATTAATTTGCCTTTGCATAGATGGTAATATATAAAAAGAAAACTGAAAACAACCACTTTAAAATAATCACTTGAATAATTTAGAGTCCTGCTTAGCTAAGCTGCCATTGTTGCCTGTGGATAGATGCCAGGAAAGGGAGCCCTTTTACAATAAGGACCAGAGAAAACAGAGGATGGAAAAAATAGATACTTTGTAAAATGCGAGCCGGGCTCGGTAGCTCAGCCTGTAATCCCGCGCCTTTGGGAGGCTGAGGTGAGTGGATTGCCTGAGCCCGCGGGTTCGAGACCCGCCTGGGCAAGCGAGACCTCATCTCTACAGTAAATCCAAAAATCAGCTGGGCGTGGTAGCGCATGCCTGTAATTCCGGCTACTCGGAAGGCTGAGGCTGAAGGATCGCCTGAGCCCAGCAGGTCGAGGCTGCAGTGGCCCGGAGCGGCCACTGCACTCCAGTCTGGGTGACAGAGTGAGACTCCAACTCAAAAAAAAAAAAAATGCAAATATGGCATTTATAGTGTCTTTAACTTTTTAAGCACCTACTGAGTACCAGGCATGCTGTGAGAGGTGGTATTTATTTGTTATCATTCCTTATCACAGCAGCCTTGAAAGAGGAAATATTCCTCTTTTACAGAGGGAAAAGAAAGGCTCAAAAAGGATAAATAATTTTCTCAGGTGACCCAGCGAATAAGTTGTTTTTATTTTGATAATAATTTTAAAATATCTTTCCCCAGTACTCATATAGGTGTTTTTTGTTTGTTTGTTTGTTTGTTTTGCCAATAAAATGACTTTCTAAAGCATGGGTCAGAAGTCGAGTTTCTACAAATGTAAGAGTGAATGAACTAATCAATCCTCACAGCAAGTCTGGGAGAAAAGGAATAGAGGGTCAGGGGATCATAGTCATAATAAAGGTGGCATGATTTTTTTTTCCTATAGAACATGATGTGTCACA